TGGATATCAGATTCAAAATGGCCAATACCAGTCCATTTCAGCCCAGTAATGCCTAAGATATCGATGTTTATGCATCCCATTTCATTTTTGACAACTTCCAGTTTTCCCAGATTCTTATTTCGATGTTCAGATTTTCCGTGGATGTTTACAACTATTTCTCATTATTTTTTGAGTTGTGTCCCATCAGCAAATGAAGGTCCCTCAGGCTTTTCTCCCATGGGATTTAGTCCATTCGCATCATCACAGTCAACTCTACTTTGAGGAGGCAGCTCTTACCAGTCACATTTTGAATGCCTTCCAACCTGAGGGGCTAGCTCATTTTATGGCACTATATCTGACAGTGTTTCTCTGCTATTCATAAGGTTTTCAGTGACTAAATATTCAAAAGTAGTTCGTCAGTCTTTCTTCCTAGTCTGTCATTGTCTGGAAGCTCATCTGAAATCTGTTCCCCATGGGTGACCCTGCTGGTATTTAAAATACCAGTGGCATAGCTTTCAGAATTACAGCAACTCACAAGCCTCCACAGTACAACAAACTGACAGACGAGTGGTGATTTACTAGGTAATATTATATGTTAACTGTTTTAACCCTTTCTTGAATAAGAGCAGTATACTTAAGATTCTTGGAGCTATGGTGTGGCACTACAGGATAATACACTGGACCTTAAGGTCAGTTTGAACCACAAGTTTGATGGTTCACACCCACCAGCTGCTGCTGAGAAACCCTATTCAGGGTTGCTATGAGTTAGAACCATCAAGTTGATTCTGACTCATAGAAACTCTGTATAAGGTTTCCCAAAAACAACGGTAGACATTAGCAGATATGTGCCTATGAATTAACATTCCCTCAAACAAATAGACATCAGATGGACACATGCAGACTTTCTTCCAGTATTTTCCTATTTATCCTCAAAATCAGAATGAAATGTCTACCCACAAATTCTTTACTGACTCATATTCTATGTTCTAATTTCTTTACTTTTGTGACAATTTAAGAAAAAAAAAAACACCGCATTACTTTTTTACCTAAAACTAGATATTTCAAATATGTAACTAAAGTAGTTAACCTAGTGGTAATTTAAAAGGTTATAATTTATAGTACCATGTGTGATAGATATACTTATATAATTTCATATTTTAACAGCTATAAAATCTGAGGAATTACTGACTCTATATATAGCAAGCCAGTTGCGAGAGAGAGAGGATGGGAAGTGGGGCATGGGGAACAAACTAAAGCTATTCTAAGTGTTTTCACACTTACTTCATATGGTGCTTAAACAAGGTTGGTGGTGGTGTTTATGTGCCGTGGAGTCGGTTCCGACTCATAGCGACCCTGTTCAGGGTTTCTGAGGCTGTAAATCTTTATGGGACCAGAAAGCCTTATCTTTCTCCTGCGGAACAGCTGGTAGTTTCGAACTGCTGTCCCTGAGGTTCGCAGCCCGATTCATAACCACTATGCTACTGTAGTGCATTTTTGGGCTAGCAAAACCACCATAAATAAGTTAGCCATTATGAGTGTATATTGGAGGCATTATGTAGGTAGAAAAGTCACATTTGCTTTTCTTTCTATTATATAATGTGAAAGCAAACTACATACCTTTTCTCGTACAAATTTTATATTACAACTTAATTATTTTTGTTGTTTTTCTCTAGAGTTTTCTAATTTTCCTTTAAGGATAAAACTTCCCCTTTGCCTCCTTTCCTATGAGACCAGAAGAACCGGATGGTGTTTGACTACCATTACTGAACATCTTAATCAAAAATAGAAAAATCTTTATTAAAAATGGAAATTGGATTTGGTATTTGATAAATTCTCATGGTATCCAGGTTTTTTTGAGCCATGGAAATGGGTGAAACCCTGAAACTGTTGCCCTAAAATAATCTTTATACTTTAAACCTTAAACTGGAAATATCCTTTGAAGTCCTCTTAAAACAAAATAATAGTTTAGTTTAAGTAGCCAAGAATGTCTGCATTGAGCATCATACTATATTTAAATCTTGAGAATAGCAACATACAGAGTCAGTCTGGCGACAGCACCTCAAAAAACTAGACAGGAAACTTCTGACGTATGTTAATAGGAAAGGAACAGCTCATAAAAGGTGGGTGAGAATGGTCGCATAACTTAAGAATGTCATCAGTACCACTGAATTGTACATGTTGTTAGGTTCCGTAGAGTTGTTTCCTATTCATAGCAGCCTGGTATACAACAGAACAAGGTACTAATCTACTGCTATTCATTATATTATCACTGTCCCTTCCTGTTTGATGTATGTTTATTGTCCTTCTTAGTCTGACTTTAGTCTGGAAGCTTCACTGCAATCTATCTACCTTGATTGACTCTGCTGGCTGTTAAAACACTGCTGACATAGCTTACAGCATCATAGTAACATACAAGCCACTGCAGTACAAGAAACTGACAGATGACTGGTGAATATTGTTGTTGTTAAGTACTGTGGAGTCGGCTCCGACTCACAGTGACCCTGCACAGGGTTTCCGAGGCTGTAAATCTTTATGGGAGCAGAATGCCTCATCTTTCTCCCGCAGAACCGCTGGTAGTTTTGAACTGCCAATCTTGAGGTTAGCAGCCCGATTCATAACCACTACGCTATTGTACATGTGGAAATTGTTGAATAGGTGTTAGGTGTATGTTCTGCTGTGTATATTCCCAACAACAACAATAAAAGTAAAATAAAGATTTTTTTCTAATGGTGTTTTCCTGTCTAGTGTATAGTATATAGCCTTTATTTATTATTAAACTTTAAAAATATTCCTAACTTCATTTTCCTGAAGATTTCAGGAGTCAGCTCCGATGATGTTTGCCAACGGGAACAGGCACTTCAGAGAGAAAACTTGAAATTATCATCTGAAAATATTGAACTAAAATTTCAGCTTGAGCAAGCAAATAAAGATGTGCCAAGATTAAAGGTAAATTTAATGTTCTTTACTAGAATTAGGAAATCTAATGTCTGAAAATGGTTTAGCTCCACTTAGTTGTGTTCATGTTATTATATGACGAAAAGAGGTACTATATATGAAGAAAAGAGATATTATAGATTTGCCAAGATTAAAGGTAAATTTAATATTCTTTACTATAATTAGGAAATCTAATGTCTGAAAGTAGTTTAGCCCCACTTAGTCGTGTTCATGTTATTTTGTGAAGAAGAGAGGTATTTTTATATGAAGAAAAGAGGTATTATAACATACCATGATAGTGTTATATTTTATATATATGCTCCTTTAGCATTTATTTGTTGAGGGCCTACTTTTTATTGGAAACTCTTTTAGGTACAGACACTCAGCAGTTACCAAAACTTTTGCCTTTCTTTTTCAATAGCTGTAGCTATGTCAATTATATATTTGCTTTTATCCTTTAGAATCAAGTAAGAGATTTAAAAGAAATGTGTGAATTTCTCAAAAAAGAAAAAACAGAAGTAGAGAGGAAACTTGGTCATGTTAGAGGGGTGAGTATGTGAGAGTATGCTATACATTTATTGTGGTTCAGAAGTGATTAGCTAGAAATGAAAGAAAAAAATTGAGATGGATCGTAGCAGCAGTGAGTGCTATTACTGATGTTCTTTGGAGTCATTATGTTACTCTGCTTCATCTACAATGTAATGAATCTTTTATGTAACTTATTTTATTGTGTATAGTAACTTGTAACTGCTCCTTGACCCAATTCTAACAATTTGTAACTACTTAAAATTTGTTTTTCATGGTATCCATTGCAGCTCCTCTGTACAGTGTGATCTTTAAATGGTTTTTCTATTTTGTTTTCTTTATCTTTCCATCTTATTTTATAGTCACTTGATTTAATGAATAAATACTGCTGATGAGGCCAAGGCCAAAGATTTAACGTTGGTGTGGCTAGGTCTGTTTGAACCACAAGGTCAGCAGTTCAAACTGACCAGCCACTCCTCAGAAACCCTATACAGGGTCTCTGTGAGTAGAACCAACTCAGTGTCACTTAACAACAACAACAAATCTCACTTTGGTGAGATGTAAATATTTAAATATGCAATGAACTTGGTGAAAATATATAAATAAAGTTGTGACTTATATCTTGATATCTTTAGATTACTTAATTTTATTTTGTCCCAGGTGTCTTTTCTGTTTATATTGAATAGATACTGCATAGTTTTATTGTTGTTGATTGCTTTTGACATTGTCTGGCATTTCTGAGGAACAGCTGGTGGGTTTGAACTGCCAACCTTGTGGCTAGCTGTCTAGTGCTTATCCTACAGCGCCATACCAGGACTCCAAGTGACTTTAGACAACAGAAATATATTGTTTCATAGTTCTGGAGGCTGTAGAGGTGGTTGTGTGCTGTGGATTTGGCTCCAGCTCATAGTGACCCTGTCTGTGTCTGGTTTCTGAGACTATCAATCTCCCATGGAGCAGAAAGCCTCATCTTCCTCCCATGGAGCAGCTGATAGATTCGAATTGCAAACCTTTAGGTTCGCAGCCCAAGTCAAATCTACCATGCTACCAGGAGTCCTGGTGTGGCACTGTGCGTTAATGTGCTGGACTGTAAGGTCAGAGGTTCACCAGCCATTCCTCAGAAACCCTTTACAGGTCACTATGAGTCAGAACCAACTCAGCCACACTTAATAACAAACAGCAACAATCAGGGCTCCAGTTCTGGAGGTGAGTTTGAACTCAAGTCACCAACAGGACCATGCTCTCTTTCTGAGCTAGCGAAGATCCTTCCTTGTCTCTTAAAAGTTACAGATAGCCACACATTGACTTGTAGATGCGTCTTTCTGCGTCTGTCTTCTTATTTGTAAGGGCAGTATTCAGAGCGAATTAGGGACCCGCCCTACCCTGTTGCGATCTCATGTATGGTATGATCATGGTATGATAACATCTTCTAAGATCCCAGGTTTATAGGTATTAAGGGTTAGGACTTCAGCATGCCTTTTGAGGGATACAATTCAATTCATAACACTGTTATGCTACAATTAGAATTGATAGCTTATGAACTTGTTATTAAGTATAATTTCTGTTTTGTGATTTTATTCCATACAAAAAAAGCTCTGTAATACTGAAAATAATATTAACTAAACAAAATATTTTAGTTTTTAGGTTTAACCTTTGAATGAGACATCAAGGCTACAATTCTATTCTGAACTATCACTTACATCACTTATTAAATGCTTTAATAATATTAGTTGCTTTGGGGTTTGATGTTGTTTTTGGTTGTTCAAGTTTGTTCCAACTCATAGTGACTCTGTGCACAAAAGAACAAAATACTGTCGGATCCTGTGCCCCCTTCACAACTGTTATATTTGAGTCCACTGTTGCTGCCTCTGTCTCACTGAAGATTTTCCTCTCTTTTACAACCCTTCACCATTGGGTTTAGGAATGCTAAATTCTCTGAGTTTTGATTTTCTTATATGAAAAATGGGGATTATAACTCCATGTTAAAATATTGTTCAGAGTGTGAATTGAAACAATACAAGCTTGCCTTCAAATGTTAGAAATTAATGGCAATGAATATAGTAATGGACCTTTTCTATTGTCGCTAAGTTATGCTATTTGATTAACTAAATAAAACATTTAACATATTCCTTTGTATAGTCTGGTAGAAGTGGGAAGACAATTCCAGAATTAGAAAAAACCATTGGTTTAATGAAAAAAGTAGTTGAAAAAGTCCAAAGAGAAAATGAACAGTTGAAAAGAGCATCAGGAATACTGACCAGTGAGAAAATGACTAATATCGAGCTGGAAAATGAAAAGTTGAAGGTAAGTTTTTGAATGTGAACATATTTAGGGGAATATTTCACTGTTACCGTTTTTATTAATTTTTTAGAAAAACTTTAAATATACTCATATAATATAAAATGACTTTAAGGACTACAGTATACATTTCTTACATACAGAAAAAACTATTATTAGAAACAAGAATAGTTACTTGGTTCTTCTAATTTTATCATAACTGACAGCATAAATGATTACCTATAGTTCTAAACAGTTCTAAATGGCCAAACTTCAATCCTGAGATTTTTTTTAGATTGTTTTTTGGGTGGGGGAGGACTCTAGCATAGGGTCTGTAAGTTTTTGGGTTTTTTTTCTTCAATGCCATCAGCTCACTCTACTATGTACCTAATCTAGATGCTCAGTTTTCAAAGGAACTTTATTTCATTCTAATCACATTAAATATAATTTCTTAAATTAGTCTCCTGTTAGAAATGGTACTGGCAAAACAAAGACCCATTTGTAGAAATGTGAAACAAGAGTCATATTTCACACAATTTGCAAAAATGAACTCAAGATGGATCAATGACTTAAATGTTAACCCTAAAATTATAAATGTCATCAGTGAAAATATTAGAGACAAACTTATGGGTCCTAATGCATGGCATAATACATTATCAAACATAATTGAAAATATACAAACATCAGGAGACATGCTAGATGACTGGAACCTTCTAAAAATTAGATATTTTGGTTCATTGAAATATTTTATCAGACAAGGAATTAATCTCTAAAATTTATGGAAAAATTCAACACTTCAACAAGAAAAAGACATATAATCCAGTTAAAAAATGAGCAGAGGACATGAAAAGGCACTTCACCCAAGAAACATTCGGGTTGCCAAAAAGCATGAAAAAATGCTTGCCATTATTGGCCATTTGTTGTTAAGTGCCATCGAGTCAATCCTGACTCATAGCAACCCTGTGTCGGGTTTCTGTGGAAAAGTTGAACCACCAACCCTGCAATTCAAGCTGACCTTGTAGTCCAGTGCAGTAACCCGCAGTGCCACACCAGGACTCCTTGCCTTAGATGTAAATCAAAACTACAATGAAATATCATCTCAACTCAGAATTGAAATATCATCTCAACTCAGCATTAATAGCAAAGTGCAACAAAACAAAACAAAAACACCAGAAAACACCATATACTGGTGATGGTGTGAAGAGACCAAAATCTATCCTAACCTGCTGGTGGGACTTCAATGGTACAACTTCTTTGGAAAACAGATCCTCAAAATGGTGTTGGAAATAGAAATGCTATGTTGTTTTAGAGTGCTGTAGAGTCTGTTCCCACCTGTAGTAATGCTGTATAAGGGTTCCGCCACCACTCACATGTCAGTTTGTTGTCCTGTGGTGGCTTATATGTTGCCATAGGCATTTTAAATACCAACAGGGTCACCCATAGTGGACAGGTTTCAGCTGAGTTTCCAGACTAAGAAAGACCAGGAAGAATGAGAGACTGACTACTCCTGGATGTTTAGCCGCTAAAAATCTTATGAGTAGAACATTGTCAGATATATAGTGCCAGAAGATGAAAACATTATGAAGAGCACCAGACTATTGACAGGTATAGTCCTGGAAGAGGAGCCTCTCAGGTTGGAAGGCACTCAAAATATGACTGAAGAAGAGCTGCCTCCTCAAAATAGAGTTAACCGTGACTCGAATGGCGTAAAGCTTTCAGGACCTTCATTTGCTGATGGGGCAGAGCTCAAATTGAGAAGAAATACTTGCAAACATCCATTAATAAACAGATCGTAAAATGTACAAAGCCTGAATATAGGAAAATTGGAAGTTGTCAAAACTGAAATGGAACACATAAAAATCAGTACCCTAGGCAACAGTGACCTCAAATAGACTGATATTGACCATTGTTAATCTGACAGTCATATGGTTTATGCTGGGGATGAAAAATTGAAGAAGAATGGCATTCATCAT